GGCACGTCATCAGGCTGGTGAACGCAGACGTGCATACGAACGCTTTTCGAAAGGAGGTGTGGCAGACAGCCAAGGTCAAATCCGGATCGCACTGTCACACCTTAAAATTTGCCCATAAATACTGCTTCATTATCAGAGAACTATGACCACTGCCAAGCTCATGATGCTTTTCTTGCTACCTGAAAGAAATAGAGGGCTGTGTAAATGAACGCAGGGATGGATGATGACTGGATCCATGAATGGATATCATAAAGGAATCGACGAACGAAAGAATGCATTGATGAACGAAAACGGGTACACGGATGGGTGGTGAATGGATGAACTAATGAAGAATGAGTGAATGAATTTATGGATAAAGCCTGAATGGATAAATAAACGAAATAATTAATAGAGTAATGAACGAATGAGTGAATGAATAAAGGGTGAGTGAAAAAATGAATGAAGAATGTATAAATAGCCTACGAGAGTATTTGATAATGCGGAGCTTGACATCATAGAATGTTTGCGAATGATAAGTTAAAACGATGCTATTACTACAGTAAATGAGGTAATAAACCATATTTCTGTAGTGGTGCTGACCATTTACAATTTTCCAAGTTTTCTTTTCCTGAACGTTTACATATGAACAAATTCCTCCATAATTGAAACGTTCGTATTCAACTGTTCGATGTTCTGCCTCTAAATAATAACCCATTGTACATAGCTTAGCCCTGATGGTACTACGGAAATATGTATCTAAACGCGCCGACAAAAAACTGTTTCGCCACCTGTTGCATTTGGTGCCCTGAACCATGAATTATTCAAACATATATCTGTATAACTATGAACCGAGAATCAAAAACCTGCAATATTATTTATTAATGGGTTCCAATAAGTACAATTATAATTTAAGAACATGACGCAACTAAAGGGGAATAAAGACTTCTAGCACGTGCCCAGAGCAAGCCAGCGAATCTCTAGCGGCTAGACATTACAAGTCTTGCCTACTTTCTTGTTCAGACAATTTAGTCTTATATGAACATGACGATGAAAACTGCTGATGCCAATCACAATGCTTTGAAAACGGGATATCCGCATTGAATATGCGTAAGATGGGC